ATATTTGGCAAACAGAATTACTTGTGAACATTATAGCTCAGGCACATTGGACGGCTTAATGTTCGATACGTCAACATTCTATTTCTTCACCTGCATACCAATAAATATAATACTACCACAGCTCTGACAGATGCATAAGAAAAATTCAACTACTTCTGAGGGTGATATAATTGGGATAGTTGCGGAGATCTTTTAATGGGGATTAGTCTACTTTCTATGAGAATGAAATGTAGGAAGGCAGTGTCATACAGTGGAATTTGAAGAATTAGAATAGAGATTGTCAAAAGACTAGTAGGCTTAACATATGCATTCCCAATTAAAGTGGTGTCCTGAAACCCAACAGCGACAGCAAGGATCAGAATCATTAGGATCCAATTTATTTCTGGGACATAGATCTGCCCTTTAATATGCTTTGAAGTGTGGACAATCTTGACCCGTGGGAAGCAACCCAGTGCATTACATTGCTTAACGATGGAGAATGTAGCAGTGATTACAGCCTGACTACCAACAATGGCTGCAAGGGTAGCGATAACAAAGACAGGCCAATATACAATGTCTGCAAGAGAATCAAAGAGCAGCAGTTTAGTAGGATTGAACTTAAATAATCAAAAAATCTTGAGAATAATCAGACAAATATCTGAAAAGGAACCAACCAGGTATGGAATTATAGAAGCTATTTGGAATAGAAGCAATGTTTTTGGACAGGAAAGCAGCTTGACCCATGTACTGTACCACCAAGCAAGGGTATACAAAAAATGGAAATGCTATCTGCATAAGAGAAAAAGTTCAGTCAACTTGGTGCAAGTTCCTCGAATCCAGTAATCATATATGCAATATAATCTGCTAACCACTAGGACAGTTTACTCGTTTGGTGGAATAAGAACCATTTGGCTCCAGTTGTCCATGCTATTCTATATGTTTCCGCTCATTATGGATTCCAAATGTTTTACTTTTAGCAATTAATATGAATTCCAAATCTTAGACTCAGTATTCCTCAAAGCTACTTCAGATGGATTTCAAACTTATGTTAATAATGTTATCTAAGTCCCTCTATGCTCAAAAGAAAACGAAATACTAAATCAGAGTCTCGATAGTTTCAAACCCTATTTATTTAACACAAAATGGAGCTCATTTTCCCAATGCCATGATGACTTATAACCAGCTGTATATATGCACCTAAAACATGTTCCTACCATTGCCGCATAATCCAACTAGTTTAATCTGCATTCAGGATCTTCTAGAAAAAGAGTATTTGCTAAGCCAAAAAAAGAATTAGAACAGAACATTCTCCTGAAGGATAGTTTTTGTGTTTGTTGCTGCAAAATGCTCGACTTACCCTCATTGAGGAGGCAGTGAAATGACCAAGATCTGCAAACATAGCTTCTGTACCTGATGGTAGAAATATGAATTAGAAACTGGATCCCAACTCTAGGAGATTTTTATAGCATCTCCTTCAACAAATAGTAAGAGGTTCCACGAAAAGGCCGCTACGCGGCATATACTTGAATAAAGAAATACTGTATTAGAGTCATATATGTACGGTACCTGCAATTGAGAGGAGCACACCTCCTAGAGAAATCCAAGCATCTTTCCCAGTTTCCTTAAAGAACTTGATGACATAATATGGAGAAAGAGCAAATACAATTTTGGGATTCCAAAATATAGTATTATACAGCCCAATGACAAAAATAGCTATCAACCAACTAGTCACTATAGGTGCAAACAAGAATCCAACCCTGTGGGTTCCAGAATGCTGTAGAGCAAACAGGCCAACCAGTATTATGCAAGAAAGAAGTAGCACACCACCTACGAAGAAAGATGCATGAATGGTCAATGCCTCAGACAGAAGTAAGATGTTGACTACCTAAAAAGTCGTCAATTTCTGCAAGGGGTATATCAAAAGTATACCTACCATAGCAGCCTGGATCCCTGATATTGATGATATAACTGCCAAAGTTAAGCATTTCTTAGTTAAAAGATATACTCAAATTCAACTGCGAGTTCTATGACTTCAAGCATCCACTTTTTCGGATATTTTTTATAGAATATCTGATGGCAACACATGCATTATAAGGTGCCACTTATCAGTGGAACTTTATTGTGCAGGTCAAAGTTGTACTTCTTGCGAGTTCCATAGTGCCAGACAAACATGATAGCCAAGAAAACAAACGAGAGCACAAGGGAGACCCATCCTCCCTGTGGAATCTTGATGAATGCGGAAGACAGGTAGACGCCTTCGATGCGCCAGAATAAAAGGAGAAAGGAAGTGGCAAGTGCTACACTTCTTTTCCACACAAAGATTATGACAAGCGCCGTGAGAAATGTCGTAATAAACATAACTGTCATGCAAGCTAGGCCTGAAAGAATAATAAATTCATAAGAGAGAACCAAACCGAGAATTATGTCAAAAGACAGCTTGAACATAAACAGCTTCGAAAAGTCCGCAGTAATGAAGAAAGGAAATCAGTGTCATGTCCCTCCTGGCATTCTTCGTACTTTCCACAAGGGATTACTTACTTCCTTATGTCTTTTTTCTGATTTGGTAACCCCCCACCCCACCCCTCCACAAAAAACAATTAGGAGCCCAACAGTAGCTTTTCCACTTTAGTTCCTTGGTGACTTGAACCCCCTAAACCCCATATGGTTGTAGGTGATTGGTATACTCTCTTTTGTTAATATGTCATGAAATCTGAGATTCCTTCATGTTCACACCATTCATCATTTCAATTTCATATGTTTTTGTTTTCATCAGGATTTTTCAAAAAGAAAAGAGGCTCAGCAGCATGTTTGAGGAAACAAATACGTAATCATGAAGACTAATCAGGTATAACAGAAATATTTGGCAAACAGAATTACTTGTGGAAATTTTAGCGCAGGCACAATGGACGGCTTAATGTTGGATTAATCAACAGTCCATTTCTACATCAGCACACTAATAAATATAATACTACCACAGATCTGACAGATGCATAAGAAAAACTCAATTACTTTTGAAGGTGATATAATTGGGATAGTTGTGGAGATCATATAATGGGGATTACTCTACTTTCTATGGGAATGAAATGTAAGAATGCAGTGACATACAGTGGAATTTGACGAATTAGAATAGGGATTGTCATAAGACTAGTAGGCTTACCATATGCATTTCCAATTAAAGTGGTGTCCTGAAACCCAACAGCCACAGCAACGGTCAGAATCATTAGGATCCAATTTATTTCTGGGGCATACATCTGCCCTTTAATATGCTTTGAAGTGTGGACAATCTTGACCCGTGGGAAGCAACCCAGTGCATTACATTGCTTCACGATGGAGAATGTAGCACTGATTACAGCCTGACTGCCAACAATGGCTGCACGGGTAGCGATAACAAAGACAGGCCAATATACAATGTCTGCAAGAGAAGCAAAGAGCAGCAGTTTAGTAGGATTGAATTTAAATTATCAACAATCTTGAGAATAATCAGACTAATAGCTGAAAAGAAAAACCCACCAGGTATTGAATTATAGAAGCTATTTGGAATTGAAGCAATGTTTTTGGACAGAAAAGCAGCCTGACCCATGTACTGTACCACCAAGCAACGGTATACAAAAAATGGAAATGCAATCTGCATAAGAAAAAAAAAGAGTCAACTCACTGGAAGTTCTCCAATTGGCCATGCTGTTCTATGTGTTTTCGCTCATTATGGATTCCAAATGTTTTACTTTCAGTAATTAATATGAATTCCAAATCTAAGACATAGTATTCCTCAAAGCTACTTCATATGGATTTCAAATATTCGTAAATAAAGTTATCTAAGTCCCTCTATGCTCAAATGAAAATGAAATACAATAAAATCAGAGTCTGGATAGTTGTAAAATCTATTTATTTAATACAAAATGGACTTTGGAAGCTCATTTTCCCAATGTCGGGATGACTTATAACCAGTTGTATATATGCACCTAAAACATGTTCCTACCATTGCGTCATAATCCAACTAGTTTAATCTGCATTCAGGTCTCCCAGAAAAAGAGTTTTTGCTAGGCTAAATAGAGAATTAGAACAGAACAGTCTCCTGAAGGATAATTTTATGTGTTTGTTGCTGCAAAATGCTCGACTTACCCTCATTGAGGAGGCAGTGAAATGACCAAGATCTGCAAACATAGCTTCAGTACCTGATGGTAGAAATATGAATTAGAAACCGGATTCCAACTCTAGGAGATTTTAACAGCATCTCCTTCATCAAATAGTAAGAGGTTCCACGAAAAGGCTGCTACAAGGCATATACTTGAATAAAGAATTACTGTATTAGAGTCAATATATGTACGGTACCTGCAATTGACAGGAGGACACCTCCTAGAGAAATCCAACCATCTTTCCCAGTTTCCTTAAAGAACTTGATGATATAATATGGAGAAAGAGCAGACACAATCTCGGGATTCCAAAATATAGTACTGTACAGCCCAATGACAAAAATAGATATCAACCAAATAGTCACATAGGTGCAAACAAGAATTCAACCCTGTGGGTTCCAGAATGCTGTAGAGCAAACAGGCCAACCAAACAATTATGCAAGAAAGAAGTAGCACACCACCTACGAAGAAAGATGCCTGAATGGGGTCAATGCCTCAGACAGAAGTAAGATGTTGACTACTTTAGAAAGTCGTCGACTTTTGCAAGGGGGTATATCAAAAGTACACCTACCATGAGATAGGTGTTCAGTAGCAGCCTGGATCCCTGACATTGATGATACAACTGCCAAAGTAAAGTATTTCTTAGTTTAAAGATTTACTCAAATTCAACTGAGTACTATGACTTCAAGCATCCAATTATCTTTTATGGAATATCTGATGGCACCACATGCATTATAAGGTGCCACCTATTATATGTTAAAAGTTGAAAATCGCTATCTAACATTCGATAAGCAACTTTAAAACAAACTTCTTTTTGGATTTAAAAGGCAACCGGCTAAATACCATATAAGGAGGCATCTATTGTTAGTATTGTCTACCTGACATTGCAGGAGTCAGAACACCATCTCCAATGACCGTACAAGCACCTAACAATACAACAATAAGCAGTACTGTGCGTGACCTCTTATGCTTCTCAAGAAATCTCTTCAGTTGTAAACATGATGTCGACTGCCCAGAGAAGCCATATTTGTAAGCAGGAAATGCAAGGGAAGGTTGCGTACAATAGACCCTTGTGGTCCGGCCCTGCCCCGGACCCCGCGCATAGCGGGAGCTTAGTGCACCGGGCTGCCCTTTATAGTTCCTCATCTGCTGCCTGTTGGTTGGGAAGTAGACTAAACTTTGCATGTCTACACAGCAGAGAGTAAAGAGCGAATGTACCACCTAAGGTATTTGGTAAAATCAGGTATTAGTATTACTCCAGAAGTACTGATCAATTTAGAGTCCCTTTTGTACATACCTTCACCATTATCATCTGCACTTAATACAACGAACACATATTTGAGCAAAGGAATGAGCGTTATTGTCCAGAAGATCAGTGAAAATGCACCAAATAGTGTTTCTGGATTCTGATGATTTTGCTACTTCCCCACAAAGATGCTCCTATAGACATAAAGCGGAGAAGTGCTCACATCTCCATATACCACCCCCAGACTTTGGTATGCCAATAGTAGATTACTGGAAATATTAACCAGAGTAAACTGCAAGGCCAAAATATCCAAGGCGTCAGCAGGTCTCATACACNAAAAATGAATCTAAGTCTAGCTTATATATGTGCCATGGAGCTCTAGAGGCAGACTATTACAGATGCAAACACTAGAAACGTCTTCAAGCTTAATATTTTACTAGATCTAACAGAAATCTCATGACCTTAAAATTCTGGAGAAGAATACAAGGCAGTGTTCAATTCAGGCATAGGTTTTCCACTTCTATTTTGTAAAATAACTCTCAATTTTAAGGTTCCCTTTCTCGCCTTGATTTTCCATTAAGTGTGTCAGTTCCATGTTTTCTCAACAGAGGTTGTTTAAATTGTCATTCTAAGGACAACTAAAAGCAAAAAAGAATAAATAATGGTCCCACTGCTGAAGCTGCATTTTAGTGACAAAGGCTTTAAAGATTAACGCCACCTGATTGTGTTTGTGAAGGCAATGGTCAAGTTGAGCTTGCTGACTCATGTTGTTTGCTTGAGGTTTGTCATATTTTCGAAGCTTTTCTTCAGAGGCATGGATAGTAATGAAGGTAGCAATTCCTTTTTGGATAGAGATGCATGATGACAGAAGAAGGGAAATGGACTCTGGAAAACAAAATTGGAATCAGGATTTTTGCTGTGGTATTAATTTATGGCAACTGGGAGAAAGAGAGAGGAGTCCAAATATGCAAGTTAGAGGAGCTCCAGTAGGCAAGGTTTAAATGCCTAAAAGTTTTTAAGTGTCGAACTATTAGAGTGGGTTAGAGTCCCACATTGGTTGGCGATTTGGCTGGTGGTCTCCTTATATAGACTTGGGCAATCCTCCCTTCATGAGCTAGCTTTTGGAGTTGAGTTAGGCCCAAGGTCCATTCTTATCACGAACCAAGCCTATGAGTTACTTGTTGGGAAACACCAAAAAGTGCCTAAGGTCAATTAAGACTTGGGACTCAAATTGGGGAGATGTCTCCAAGACAGTATCCTACTTTTCGGAAGTATGCCAAAGTTTCCTTCTTTTAATCAGGTGAAGAAGAGAAAAATGGAGAATCTCTACTCCTTTAGGAAGTCAGTTGAGCAAAAAATTCAACAAGAAAAGCTCAAGTGAGTAAATGAAGTCCATTCCACTACAAGTATAGTAGCATACTCTTCACTGTTGCTTTCTGGATCAGTTCAAACTATTTCACTGTGAGGAAGGGAAAGGAATGTCCTCGGTTCAAACTGAGTGAAGCTTTAGAAGCTTGTTCTGATGGTTTTAGTTTTAGATTTAGGAACCTTTGTTTTAGACATATGAGACCAATATATAAATGTAAAGATATACTAGTAATAAAAAGAAGTCAAGAGATAAGACTCCAGCTATTTAGGATATTCGAAAGATCTTATTTGTCCCAACCTCTTTTCTTCAAGTACAAGAACTGCAGCCATTAGTCCATCATGTTTTCTTTCGTAAAAGTTATCAACATTAAATAGTCATTCTATTTGATAAAGGCAGTACTGCTGTGAAGACTTCAATTTTTTCCTATAAAAGCCAAGGGTTCTTCAGTTGATCACAAGATAAATTGATAGAAAATGTACTACTTGAGGGCGATTTGGAGAAGGAAAAGTAAAAAAATTAAAGGCAGCAAAAACCAAGTGGAAAAAATTTCATAGCATTGAGCAACCTGCAAATCTTTCAGCAAAAGGTATTACAACCCTTAATTTCGTTTAATTTAAAAGATTTTATGCAGTTGTAGCAGAGAATACTTATTCCTTTCTTCATTCTTAGCTAACTACAAAAACGGAGATGTGCCAGGACTGCAAGTTCCCATCACTAAAGCACTTTAGGTTCAAGGGGGTTCAGGCCAAAATACAAGCTGAAAATATGCAGGACATTCAGAAGGAAAAGGTAAGCATTTAACATTTTATTCCACCTAATAAAGATTGCAACTTAGCATGTTTTGACTCTTCTTTAGGTGCTATTTAATTTAGTTTCCATTCGCTTGAAAATCCACATCAATGTCATTAGCCTAGTAGAGAACCTAACTACAAACTACAAACATTAATCTAATATTTATTTTATTACAAGAAAGTAGACAAAGTGACACCTTAATGTCCATGAAAGCAAGCGTGCTATAAATTATATTTGAGGCATACTAGCTTCTTTTAATCCAAGTCCCTTAGATGCCCCCATCTCACGCAACCTTAATTTCATGAATAATGGAACAACATATTGAAGAAAACAGTTCTCTTTCATGCTAGTTCCTTTTTATAAGCCAATAAATAACAAATTAGTGCAGAAGAAATTTAGCTGCAGCTTAGAATATTATTAACTTCCTTCAATATCAGAGCTCAATGGTGTGTAATCTTATAACAGTTTATTGAATTCAGAAGAGAGTGCAGGCACAAGGCACATACTTGTACACATGCACTATCAAAAGGCATTAAGATGTAAGTCTGGTGAAAGTATGAAGAAAACATTTCTCACCTTAGAAGCCAATTTCCCTTTTCTCCTCTCGAATTGGATTTGTTGACCTATCCCCTCTTGTCCAACTGCATGGATTGATTCCTCACCCCCATCTGCAGCAGGGGGGCGTGGTTGCTTCTCTTGCCCATGATCAATATCTACTCGATACATCTATTTGCCATTTTGTGTAAAACATTCTTGATTACTGATTTTAATCATACCAACCAAAAAATAATTAACAGAAAAAATCGGAAAAACAAGCTGTCACAGATCAATGCAAGGACATAAGAGTAAACGCTGCAACATCGAAAAGGTCATGATCTCTGTTTGGACAACCATTAGACTAGATGAGGTGTATTCCCATTATGCTAAGCGTGAAAAAGGTCGTGGCCCTGTTCGTGGTCGTAGCCATGGCTGTGGCCGGGGACAAGTAAGAAATTTTTTTGGTATTAATCATTCCAAAGAAAAATAACCACAAAAAATAGAAAGGGAAAAATATGAAGCCAAAGGCAACGGGTTCAGAAACTGAATGCTATCGTTACGGTGGAAAAGGGCATTGGGCAAATATTTATCGTACACCAAAATATTTGGTTGAGCTTTATCAAACATCTCTAAAGAATAAAGGCCTAGAAGCTAATTTTGTCTCTGACAATGAATTTGACATCACCCACTTGGATGTGACAAACTTCTTTGAGCGCCCTGATGGAAAAATATACCACTTGATCGGTGATGGATCCGTGGTTAAAGACGATTGAATAGTTTGGATTTTATTTTCATCTATTTATAGTAGCTAGTGAATAAACATCATGTAATCATAGTTCTTTGCATAAGTAGTAGTTATTAGTATCAATTAGTATCATAATTAGAGCTACTCGAAATTGCATTAAAAGGTCATTATTGAATCATTAATTTAACTTTGTTTCTTTTCCCCTTTTCTCTGAAAATACTAATGTTTATTCGTATATTTCTTTTGTATGTCAAATCATGGAAAGCAAATATGAATACCTCACAAAGCAAACTTGTATCAAAGTTTAATTGTAGAATTATTTGTTTAATTGATTCATGTACGGCATACAATATTCAAAGAGAAGAAATATTTCTCTCATTTAAGTATGTGTAAGGCAGATGTTACTACAATTTCTGATTGTAGTAATCTAATTGAAGGCACTGAAAGAGCTATTATAACTAGGGGAACAATACTTATCATAATAATACAATGTTCTCCTCCAAGTCCAAGAGGAACTTGTTGAGTTTTAAAAATATCCGCCGAAATGGATATCATATTGAGACAATAGATGAGAATAATCTTGAATATCTCATCGTTACCAAGAATGTCTCTAGCCAGAAAAGGGTTATTGAGAAGTTCCCATCTTTATCTTGTGGCCTGTATTGGAGAAGAATTAGTGCAATTGAGGCACATTCTATCATAAACCAAAAGGTTACTGATCCCAATACTTTTGTACTTTGGCATGATCGATTGGGACATCCTGGATCAATTATGATGAGGCGAATTATAGAGAACTCAAATGGGCATCCATTAAAGAATTTAAAGATTATTTTTAATAATGAATTTTCTTGCACTTCTTGTTATCAATGCAAGTTAATTATTAGACCATCACCAACAAAGGTTGGGATTGAGTCCCCTGCATTTTTGGAACGTATACAAGGGGACATTTGTGGACCTATTCACCCACCTAGTGGGTCGTTTAGATATTTTATAGTATTAATAGATGCATCTTCTAGATGGTCTCATGTGTGCCTATTGTCATCTCGCAACCTGGCATTTACAAAATTAATGGCAGAACTAATTCGATTAGGGGCACAATTCCCCGATAATCCAATTAAGTCTATTAAACTTGATAATGTTGTTCGAGTTTTCATACCAAGAATTTAATGATTATTGCTTATCAATTGGGATAAAAGTGAAACATCATGTAGCTCATGTTCACACTCAAAATGGCCTTGCAGAGTCATTGATTAAATGTCTGTAATTGATAGCAAGACTGTTACTCATGAAAATGAGGTTACCCACTTCTGTTTTGGGTCATGCCATTTTGCATGCAGCAATACTAGTTCGTCTTAGACCAATAAATCATCATAAATATTTCCCGATGCAATTAGTTTTGGGTCATGAACCTAATATATCCCATTTAAGAATTTTTGGGTGCGCAGTATATGTGCCTATAGCACATCCATATCGCACCAAGATAGGTCCCCAAAGAAGGTTAGGAATATATGTTGGGTTTAAATCTTCATCTATTATTCGCTACCTCGAAACATTAACGGGAGATTTGTTCACTGCTCGATTTGCAGATTGTCGATTCGATGAGACATTTTTCCCAAAATCAGGTGGAGAAAATAGTGAAACCAAACGAGAAATTTTGTGAAAAAATCCATCATTGTCTCATCTTGATCCATGTGCCTCTATTTGTGAAAAAAAAGGTGCAAAAGATAATCCATTTGCAGAAAATAACAAATCAAATGCCAGATGCATTTACGGATCTGAAAAGGATAACGAAATCACATATCCCTGCAGAGAATGTTCTAATACGTATTGATGTCTCTGTTGGACAATTTTCTAGTGTCATAGTTAATGAGTCAAAAGCACGCCTAAAATGTGTCAGACCATTGGGTTCTAAGGATCAAAATCCTATAAAACGGAAAATAAATGATCAAGGTGACACTACGAATGAGTCTCATAAAGAAACCAATGATTTAACCAATCTTGAGATTCATGAGGAATCAATGAGCCTGAGACTCAAGAAAATAAAGAACTATTAATAAATCCAATCGATATTGAGACAAATTTGAATCAATTGAATATAGTGGTGAATTATGTCTTTGCATACAATGTTGCATCTAAAATTATGCAAGATAATGAGGATATTGAACCTCAATCTGTTGGAGAATGTCGACAAAGACATGATTGGCCAAAATGACAAGAAGCAATCCAATCTGAGTTGGATTCACTTGTGAAACGTGAAGTTTTTGGGCCTGTAGTCCAAACACCTAATAGTGTTAAGCCTATTGGCTATAAATGGGTCTTTGTACATAAGAGAAATGAGAGAAATAAGGTACAAATATATAAGGCATGCCTTGTTGCACAAGGATTTTCACAAAGGTCTGATGTCGATTATAAAGAGACATATTCCCTGTTATGAATGCAATAACATTTCGTTATCTAATTAGTTTTGTTGTCCATAAAAAGCTTGGCATGCATTTAATGGATGTGGTTACAACCTACTTTTATGGCACACTTGATAACGAAAT